ACACTCTTATGTAAAAGATATTTACACACTTACAAAATATTAATCCATATAACTATAACACATATAAACACATAATAAATAACGCACAAATAAAAATAAATATATAAACTAAGAAAAAAAAAATTAGAAACTTTTTAAATACAACCTACTATTTGTAATATTTGTTTAATGACATCCCTCGTAATAAATGTTTAACAACATGGAAAAACAAACGATCTAGTTTTTTATATAAAAGATAACGGTTTTTTTTTATCTTCTTTAAAGTAAGGTGTTAAACAATCATGTTCTTTAACATGTAATATGAAGTTGACTAGTTGCGATGCAAGGGTTTTGGAGATAAACACTAACTTTATCAAGTGTTTGACTTTTGAGAAGAGCAACGTTTTCTCGAGTCATCATCGTCTTTTTATTTAAAAATTAAATAATAATATACTTTAAATACATATGACAAAGGACATAAATTGTGTTATTATTACAAGCAATGCTTAAAATAAATTTCCTGACTTTAATTCTTTCGATACCGACGGGACATAGGAGTCCCAACAGAAAAACTTTAACTTATAATCTATAGTTATATCTGTTGGTCATTAAGATTCATTCAACGAAATTGTTTTTTTTTTATCTCAAACCATTTTAGATTTTGGAATTTGATGCGTTTAAATGTTATTGAAGTGTTGTGGTTTGAAATCAAAATTTACAGCCTTGTTAAAAAATTTTTGGAATTTATATTTGTTTGTTATAATTTTTGGACTATCTAAATCATTTTTAAGTTGTTTTTTAGCTATATATCACTGAAACTACAGATACCTGATAAATTACAGCTGGGACTTTAATGTCCCTACAGCGTTTTTTGAGTAATTTTTTTTCGGTCGTAAATTTCTGATTTCTAAGATTTACTTCATTTTACTCTTCAAATTTTGAGAAAATTTTATTGTTTTTAGAAACTAGTACGTAATTATATTGTTTAAAAAAGATACACTGCTGAAGAAGTGGTTGGATTGATAATGCAAGAAGATAAACCTTTAGATAATTCAACTGATACAGATATTGAAGAAAGTGATGAAGATGTTTTTGAATTTGAAGTTGATAATTTACCTACAAAAAAAGATTTTTTATCTATGTATGAAGATGTGTTACAGATTGAATCATCGTCAAATGAAAATGTGACTGTTTTAAATACTGAAAGTAATACAGCTCATGGCCAAGAATTTAGTATCAATGAAAAGCGATTGTGGATGAAAAAGGATAAAGCAGAACTTAAATCAGCATTTCATTAACTAGAAGGACCTGTAATTGATTCTTTTATTGATTGCCATGATGATTAAGACTATTTTTTAAAGTTCTTTGATACTAAAATAAGAGACAAAACTTTATTTGAAAACAATTTGTATATCAACCAAAAGCACAAAAGAGTGCCTTTAATTTCATTGAATGAGTTATTTTTATTCTTAGGTATTAATAATTTAATGGGTAACCATAGTTTGCCATTTTTGTTGTGCTATTAAAATAATTTGCAAGATCTAAATGTTTCACTCGTTTCAAATTCTCCTTCAACAAGTAGATTTTTACAAATATTAGGAAACATTCATTTAAACAACAATAATTCTATACCTTCAAATAACACAGATAAACTATATAAAATCAGACCTTTTATCGACAAATTAAATGAAAATTTTATGAAACTTCGGAACCCAAGAGAGTATCTGAGTATTGATGAAAGCATGGTCCTATTTAAAGGTAGAAGTTCTTTGAAACCTATTAAAAGAGGTTTATATAATATGGGCACGTGCTGATATATATATATATATATATATATATATATATATATATATATATATATATATATATATATATATATATATATATATATATATATATATATATATATATATATATATATATATATATATATATATATATATATATATATATATATATATATATATATATATATATATATATATATATATATATATGTATATATATATATATATATATATATATATATATATATATTATATATATATATATATATATATATATGGTTATATCTCAAAATTTAGTATATATCAAGGAAAGAATGGTGAAACTGAAAAAATAGATATACCTTAATTCTTTGGTCTTGGTGAAAAAGTTGTTTTATATCTCACAAATGACTTATTTAACAAATAACCATAAAGTTATTTAACAAATAACCATAAAAATGACTTATTTAACAAATAACCATAACAAAAACCATAAAGTGTTTTTTGAGAATTATTTCTTGTCTGTTCTACTTGCGGAGTATTTCCTGTTGCAAAATGTGTTATGTTGTGGAACAATAAGATCCAATAGAAAATATTTACCAAATGGTTTATTGAGTGACAAAAATCTTACAAGAGGGGATTATGGTAATCGCGTTTCTAACCTTGATATTATTGCATATAAATGGATGGATAATAAGAGTGCTCATTTAATTTCGAATTACCATGAAACTGAAGAAGAACAAATTAAACTAAACAAAAAGATGGTTCCATAAAGATATTAAAATATCTAAAAGCTATAAATGATTACAATAAAAACATGGGAGGAGTTGAGAAAACCGATTTTTATTGTTCTATTTATGGCATAGATCAAAAAAAGTATTAAATCGAACAACAACTAATGCATTTATTAAATATTGTAAATTTAAAAATTAAAAGCTTGTTGTTTTGTCGAAATATTACATTAAGATTCTTAACACATCGTCGTCTTGCTAAAATTAGTCGCCCACTAAGTTTACCTGAATCTTTTTAAAAAAGAAGAAAAGCCAAATATTCTGCTCCAGAGTGTGTACATTTAGTAAGCAGAGGTATTCAATGGCTTTTATTTGGGGGTAAAAGGGCATGGTGTGAGGTTTGTTCTAAAAAAAAGCAGGAATCAAGACCATATGGCTATTGTGAAACCTGCATTGTATTTCTCTGCATTCAAAAAAAAAAAAAATTTTATCTAGAATAATACAACCTTTAATATTTTTTCGTTTTACTGTTTGTATTTTTTATTTGATGTTGACTTTTGATATTGCATGTCTTTGATATTGATTGCTTTTAATTTTGATTATTTTTTAAACTTTGCTACAGTTAAATCTAAGTTTCCAAATATAAAATTAAAAAAAAAAAATTGAATATACGTTAATAAAGAAGACCTTAACAAGTATATAATTGAAAAAATACATATAATTTTGGTTGGTAGAGGTAGATATGAAGGGTGGAAGGAGGAGGGGGTTAAAAGGTAGATGGCATATTAGTACATGCACTCCTCAGTTACCTCATTCATAGTTGCTTACTTCATCAAAGTTTGAAATAAATTTTATTAAAAAACAGTTTTTTTGTTTACAAAACTCCGAATTTTAAATTTGGTTACTTTATATCGTAAAAATACTGCCAGGCATGTAAGTCCCACCCCTATTTCTTTGACAACGGGGAGGGTTAGAAAAAAAGTAATAGTGTATTCTTAATATGGAATCTAATAGAATTTTAAAACATAACATAAGATTCGAATTAGATGTCTTAATCCACGAGTAGAATTGAAAGGGTTTAAAGTTACTTTACTAATTCAAAAACAACATAAGGTTTATTCTTTACGACAGAAATTATCTTATCGCTAATTAAACTGAAGATCTTATCACTAGTTAATCTGATGAAGCAAAGTTTTCAATCTTATTACTGATTAAACAGAAATTGACAGATATTAAGAGTTGAGAGTACCTTATCGAGTGAGTTCAAAAGTGCAAAGAAAAGATGCATGCTAAATCCTATTTATAATAAATAGTAAAAAATTACGTGTAAACGCGCACGAATGGGCAGCAGCAGCGGCAGCAGCGTTAAATTACGTATTAATTATAAGCAATGATGTATTATTTCAAAAGTTTTAAAAGCATAGATAAAAGACCGTAATTTATTAATAGCGGATTTTTTCCGTAGCAAAACAACGAAAAATGTCAGATAAATACTATGGAGTTTTTCATCAGTGTACTTTGTATTTACTGGATGTCAAACAAACTTGACTCCATCTGATCTGAACTGCGTAAATCTGTTTTCATTATTAAGAAAAAATCTAGAAAGAAAAATGACAAATGGGTACTAATACACTTTAGATGCTGTGGTGCTTTACTCTTTATGGGTATTTCAGGTTTTCGTGGAAATCAATAGCTTTTAATTTAGACGTTTTTTAAAATCATTTGCGCGTTCTAAACAACATTTTGTAGTAAAATAATTTCATTTCATTTCTAGAAAGTGTTTTATTTGCTTGTTCAATTTAACAGCTGTCAAAAAGGGATTTTTCTTGTTTATTATCACGAGCGTTTAATTTCTTTACAGTTTTTTGTGGAATATGTAAAATTACATCTCTTCATAATTTTTTTATCAGCTAAACTAACGATTCCATAAAATTGTGCCGTTTTACAAAATGAATTTCCATTTGAACTCAACATGCTATCAACTAATTTCTTAGAGATATTATACATTTCTTATACAGTATGACCGAATAAAGGTTAGTAGAAACAAAAATTCAAAATTCAAACATAAATACCAGGAGGACCAGTTGTGCCTGCGTGAAATCTTTAATTAATCTGTTATTTTCAAATGAGAATATTAAAATATTTTATCCTTCTTTTTTATGTGATTGGCTATGCTTGGTCAAGCATCTAGCTTTAGCGTATGAAAAAAAAAAATCATTGTTTTTATCTTTATCATATTTTGATATTTGTTATCTTTATCGTGTCTTTATTTTTAGACTTTTGAATAATTAAAACGTATGATAATAGTAACTTTATAAATCAAACATTTCTGTCATTTCTGCTTGAATGAACTTTTATAAAGAGATGACTTAATAAACAAAAAATTAATAATAGTATATATAAATAAAATTGAAAGAAAAATAGTATGACATATGTAAGTAAAAATAGAAAGATAAGTTTAAAGTTTAGAAATATTTTAATTATCATAATTATCATTTGTTAATAAAAATATTTACATGTTTAGATTGAAGAAGGCAATCTACCAAGACCTATTTTGGTTGATAAGAGTTGCAACTCTGTAATTTGTAATGAGGTACATGCAAAAAACTTGTTTTATTGCAAATTATAATCACTTTATAAAGTAAATGATAAATTATTCAGCGGTACGTGCAAGAGCTTTTAAAAGTTTGAAAAGTTAAAAGTTTTAAATTCGTATAAGTATAAATATTATACTTATAGAGTATTAGTATTATTCGATTTTTGAAAATTTTCAAATTGAGATACGATTCGAAAGTTTTTAAAAATTGAATCCTTATTTATTTTGTTTTTGTTATGGGTATTTTAAATATTCTATGCTTTGTCGCTATCAAAGTAAGGTTTTTTATCCTTAAATACCTTTTTAATCAGTCATTAAAATGGTTAAACAGGGCAAGAAGTATCAGTAAAGAGATTATACAGTTGTCTTATTTTGTTTTATTTTGAAATAAATGTTATTAAATAAAAAATGCTTAAATTTAGACTTCAAAATGTTGATTTGAAACGTGATTATAATTGCGAATCAAGGCCTGCTTAAATTTGAAACAACAACTGAAAATTCGCAGGGCCCTAATATATATATATATATATATATATATATATATATATATATATATATATATATATATATATATATATATATATATATATATATATATATATATATATATATATATATATATATATATATATATATATATATATATATATATATATATATATATATATATATATATATATATATATATATATATATATATATATATATATATATATATATATATATATATATATATGCATATTAGTATATTGATATATACTAATATATAATATTTTGTAGTTATAATAAAAAGTAAAATGTGTGGTTTGGAACTTTGAAAATTTGAAAACAGATGTTTAAAATACTGCAGATAAAAATTAACAAACTACATATGGAAAATATTTATTAGATTTTTAATTGCTACTTTAATTGCAAATACTTATTCAAATATCAAAGACTAACCACGCGAATTGAAGTATTTCATTTACTTAAGTATTTGAAATGCGTAAATACGCGTGGGTAGTGTTTTCTTTAGATCGTTAGGCCTGGGTATGACAAACATTCATAGATTTTGTTATTTTAAGATATGTTACAGATATTAAGCCTATGTCGTTTGCCGATGGAACAATTTTTGATTTTTATTTTTATCTGGGTTACATCGGCCTAATGAAGTAAAAAGATGCCGATCTAGTAATACAATAAATGTTGTAGGCAAAATATCAAGGAAACGTCCATGTGTGTTTTGGGTAAGAATTTAGAATATAAACTATCGTGCATTCAATTTGTGGGCATAGTGATGTGAAAACAAAGTATACTATGGAATGTCTTGAAGTCGTTTCTGTAGTCCAAAAATTTAGCAAGAAATTACTTTCGCAACTGAAATTTTTTAAATTTGGATGCTCATTATATACAAGAAATATTAGAAGTTGTGAATATTTGGTTTTACTGCTTTTGTGTAAAGTTTTTTCGATAACATTATAGTTTGTTTACATCTATTTTGTTATATACATTATATATTATACGTATATATATACATTAATTTCGATTACATTATATTTCGTTTTTTTCGATTACATTATAGTTCGGACATTACAGATTACATTTCGATTACATTACAACTTAATATACATTTTTTAAATTGCTTTTGGCGGTGAAAAAACCAACGGAAAACAATTTTCCAAGCGGGAAACTTGAAGTTAAGTTAAAAATTTTAAAATATTGAAAGTAAAACTTGTTATTTATGTCAGAGTACATCTATAAAACCGTTTGCATCGTTAATATTATCAATTAATTTTAAAACCAGTGGACAAATTAAAAGAAAATGAATCTTTAAAACTATTGTTCTAACCGTAATAATGCGTGCACAACAAGAAATAATAGAAAAGTTTTATAAATTAAGGCATTGGAAGCAAAAACAACATCTGCCACCTCGTGGGCAGGTGTTATTGCTCATAGAAAAAAAAAATGAAACACAACTAAATAACCTAAAAGCGTAAATCATAAAACAAAATGAAGGAAAAAATGAAGAGGCGAATATAATATTATTTGGTGTAACAGAATCTGATGTAGCAACCAATTTCGAAAAATATGAAATGATTTTAATGTTGTGGAAGAGATATTTAACACGATCGGAAAACCATGTTCACTGGTCTTTGTGAGAAGATTTTTAAGAAAAAATTTTTAGTAAGAAACCTGCTCCAATAATAGTACGCTTAAAAGACAAAGCACATAGAAATACGATACACGCAGCAGCAAAGGAGTTACGTCTACAGATAACCTAGAGAATACAATAGCCGAAAGAGTCTATGATTACGCTTTAAGGCAGGAAAAAAAAAAGAAAAATTAACTATTTGCAAAATACGGAAACCTATGCTTATCGAAATCGGGGGCAACAAATTGTCAAGATTAACAAACAACAATAAGAAAAACCTAAAAATTTATGTACAAACGCAACCTCATTAAATAAAAAATTTAATAAGGAACTTTTAGTTTTAGCACAGTTAAATAAAATAGATGTTATAATGGTGACGGAAATGTGGTTTAGTGCCAAATAAGTGTAAACCTGGATAGTTTACAACCTGGATATTTTAGAAAGGAGAGAATTAACGGACGAGGTGGTGGAGATTGTTTCTATGCTCAAAAAGTTCTTATAACTTTTGAAATTAACTCTATTGAACTATGTTATTCAGATATAGAACAAATATGGTCAGGACTCAAATATGAATTTGAAAAAACATTAGTTGTTTATATCTACAGATCTCCTATCTCATCAAATAATTCAAACCTTTGTATATCTATTTTAGCGGCTAAACGTGTTTATGATAATAGTGCTTTAAAAGATTTTTTTGTTGCCCGGAGAATTTAACCGAATATAAAATGGGTTGATGAGATCTAACCGAATATAAAATGGATTGGTGATATCTCTATTGATACATGTTCAGAACTAAGTAGTTCAGAATTTCATTTAACCGAAACTATAAACGACTGCTTTTTGTCAAAAAATGTATTTTTTCCAACATTTCGAAAGACGGATAAAGATTCGACTAACATTCTTGATCTTATATTTACAGAAAATTTAAATCTTGTTTCTGAACTCACATCAAATCCTTCTTTAAGTAAAATTGTCCATGCACATATGATATTGACTTGGAACTACTTGATTAGCGCTAATATAATCAATAAAAAAATTATTTCAAGTTATATATATATAAAAGGTGATTATGTTAAATTAATACAATATTTCAATTCAATTAATTGGAAAGCAGTATTTGGCGATAGAAATATTTATCAGTGTTATGACAAATTTTTAGAATTGTATAAGGTGGCCTGTAACAAGTTATTCCACCTTCTAAAAAATACGGACAACCACGAAAAGCTTGGATAATATCTGATATAAAAAAACTTATTAATGAAAAAAAAATCAAATATAGTCTAAGTTCTAAGTTATTGCATCAAGCAGAAATAATCTCGAATTATTAACAAAATATAAACTTATTAAAACTAAGACTCGACATTCTAATGAATTAGCTTTGAAACAATTTGAACAGACCTAAAGTTCTCCTAAGAGGTCCTAAGAAATTTTTATGAAGTCCTAAGAGGCCTCTTAAGATATCCTTTGAGATTTTATGCATATTCGAACAGCAAACAAAAGGATAAAGGAGGAATTCGCACTTTAAGGTTTTCAGATGTAACTGCGAGAGATAACCTTTTAGATATAACAAATTTGTTAAACACATAATTTTAATCTGTATTTACTGAAGGCGATAATAAAGCTTTACCGAGTTTTGATTCTGTTACTCATGTTCACTGCAAAAATTATACAAAAAAATAATCAGTTCAAAAAAAATTCTTGTACAGTTAAAATCATTGGATAAATACAAATCCTGTGGGAATGATGGAGTCCATCCGTATAAACTGAGAACCTGTTTTTTAAATCTGAGTATAAAAATTGAACATATTTTCAAGGTAAATTGGGAATAGTACCAAAGCATGGAAAGACTCAAACATAGTTCCGATTTTTAAAAATAACAAAAGCTTAATCCTTCCAAATATAGACCTGTTTCTCTTTCGTCATTTATATGCAAAATTCTATAATAGATATTAAAAAAAAAAAAAACCATTCGGCATCTTTTGGAAAATAATATGATAAATAAGAATTAGTATGATTTTTTACCAGGTAAATCTTGTTTTACAAATTTACTTGAAAGCCAAGATATTGTAACTCTCGCAGTAGATCAAGATTATCCTATAAATATACTTTTTACTGACTTTTCTAAAGCATTTGACGGAGTTCACTATAGAAAACTAGTATTAAAAACTGAAATAAACGGTATAAAAAAATAATTCTTAAATTGATTGAGTCTTTTTTATCAAATAGAAGAAAAAGTGTTGCTATTGAAGACATCGCTTTTACGTGGCTTATTATTTTAATGTAGTGTACCTCAAGGCTCTGTTCTGAACCAATTTTGTTTTTAATTTGTATCAGTGATCTTCTGGATAAACTAAAAAATAAAAACAAGCTATATGCTAATGATTGCAAAGTTTTCCACATAATCAGTGATAACAGTAGTAATGATCTACAGAATGACATTTTTTTTCTTTTTTTTTTCTCCAATTTTAAATTGGTGCAATGGTGCAATTGGTGCAATTTTATTTTTAATTGTTACAATGACTGGAGTATGTAACTAAATATAGAAAAATGTAAAATAATGCATGTCAATAAAAGTAATAAATTAAATAAAAATATCAATAAATATTACATTTCTGATTATCAACTAAGTATTGTGAATTGTGTAAACAATCTTGGTATGTTTAAAAGCGATCTAAAATATGGTCATCTTATATCTGCGTGTGTTTATAAAGCAAATAGAATTTTAGGTCTTATCCGACACATGTTTTCATTTTTAAATGCTGATATACTTGAATTGTTATATGTTTCGCTAGTATGCCTTTATCTAGAATATGCGTCATCTATTTGGAATACATTTTTAAAAAAAGGCATTAATTTTATCAAAGGA